AGCCATTCTGACAGGTGTGAAGTGATACCTCATTGTGGTTTTAATTTGCATCTCTCATGATTAGCAACGTTGAGCATTTTTTCATATGTCTCTTGGCCATCTGTATGTCCTCTTTGGAGAAGTGTCTATTCAGGTCCTTTGCCCATTTTTTAATTGGATTGTTTGTATTCCTCCTGTTGAGTTGTATGAGTTCTTTGTACACTTTGGAAATTAGCCCCTTATCAGATGCATCCTTGGCAAATACGTTCTCCCAGACCATGGGGTTTCTTGCACTGCTTCTTGAAGGCTGAGAAAGCCTCCAATCCAGCTGCAGAATCTCTTACAGGGCTAGTTATTTATTTATTTTTTCACATTCAATACTATTTTGTATTAGTTTCAGTTGTACAGCATAGTGATTAGACAAACTCTTTACAGAGTGCTTTCCCTGATATTCCCAGTACCCATCTGGCATCATACATAGTTATTACACTATTATTGACTATATTCCCTATGCTGTACTTTACATCCCCATGAATATTTTGTAGCTACCCATCTGCATGTCTCAATTCCTTCACCTTTTTCACCCAATCCTCCAATCCCAGTCCCCTCTGACAACCATCAGTCTGCTTTCTGTATCTTTGAGTCTGTTTCTGTTTTGTTTGTTCATTTATATTGGTCTTTAGATTTCACATATAAGTGAAATCATATGCTATTTTTCTTTCTCTGACTGATATATTTTGTACCTCCCCTTTTATATCTACTCATCTATTGATGGGCACTTGGGTTGTTTCCATAGTTTGGATATTGTAAATAATGCTGCAATGAACATAGGGGTGCATATGTTTTTTCCAATTAGTGTTTTAGGTTTCTTCAAATATATACCCAGAAGTAGAAATGCTGGGTAATATGATAGTTCCATTTTTCATTTTTTTACCCTCACCCAAGGATATGTTTATTGATTTGAGAGAGAAAGGAATGAAGAGAGAGGTGAAGGGAGGGAGGGGAGAGAGAGAGAGAGAGAGAGAGAGGAGAGAGAAACACTGATGTGAGAGAGAAACATCGATTGGTTGCCTCCCACATGTGCCCCAACTGTAGATCGAATCTGAAACCTAGGTATGTGCCCTGACAGGGAATCAAACCCGCAACCTTTTTGGTATATGGGACGACACTTCAACCAACTGAACCACCTGGCCAGGGAT